CCCCAAAACCCCAAAACCCCAAAACCCCATGAGGGATAACGTCATTGCATATCATAGTCAATTATGTTTATTAAAATTCCAAATTTTATCTTCCATCGTATAAATATAAAATCAGAGAAGAAAGTATCATATAAATACAATTGAACCTGAAAATGGAATCGCAAATATTTTTAACAATTAAAGATCCGAAGATCAGAAATATCTACGCCTAGGATAGGAATAAAGACATGATTGCAGTAAATTTAGTAGTTTGGCTAGTTAGAGTTGTCACTGTATTGTGTGGTATAGTTAGTGCAATCATAAATGAGAGAAAATTTACAGACTTATATTGGGTTGTGAGGGGGGTTGGTCTAGGTTACTAATTATCCTTGCTCCTGCTGGCATGGAAATGGCCTAACCACTTTGCTAAGTTACAAGGGCCACTACTTATACCTTCTTTTTTGATAAATTTGTAGAACTTAAATGTACCTTTAGATTATCTCACCGTCAACACTATAGTTGGAAACATTTCAGCATTTATGATTTTTATGATATATGGCTTCTTATTGAATTACAGTTGGTATATTACCGCAGTATCTCTAACCTTGACAAATATAGGTGCTCTAACCTTTTATGGTTTATAGATCCAATTTAGAGACCTTACATCACTCTCTGTAATCATAGCATATCTTTTCTTGATCATATACGCTTGTTACTTTTACGAGAAGAGATTAAAATAATCATTTATCTAGCTCCATTAAATATAAACAATGAACGATGAGCTTACATTACTATTTGACAAGCTGCCAGAAGGCATAGTGCTCTTTAACCCTGAAAATAAATAAATCTCGTTAGTAAATAAAGAATTCAGAAGATTATTTAATATACAGCAACAGTAACATCAGGGTAGTCCCTCAGCAACAAACGAAGAAAATAATCATTAGAGCATACAATCAAGCAGTAATAAAATAAAAATTGATTCTTGTCTAGAGCTCAACTAGCTAAAAGAATACAAATTCTAAGAACAAGGGATAGTAGCAGACGACCTTCGATCAGGCTCAGGATTTAAGAATATCTTGGAAGCTGTAAATGATGAAAACAGAGACAAATATTATTAAATAATGACAGCAAGTGAAGAAGATAACTTTTCTTCTTCTAACTCTAATGCATAAAATGGTAATAGTGAGATCATAAGCCTGAATCAATGCTAGATTCTCTTTCAAAATCTTTATCATCGAATGATAATGGTAAAGAACCTTACTCCAATAATCAAGTATGAGAAATTGAAAGTAGAAAATCATTTTTACGAGATGCTAACTGCAACAGTTTCTCACGATATGAGGACACCTTTAAATGCAATGACTGGCCTATTGAATAGTCTGGACATTTTTATATAAGACAACACAGGAAAGAGATTCCTTAATATCATCAAGAATTCCTCTAAATTCATGTGCTTTTTGGTTAATGATTTACTCGATTATTTTCAGATAAAAAACGGTAAATTTAAAAAGAATCTTTAGTGGATAGATCTAAACAAATCATTCAGAGACTTGGTAGATATGTTCAGCATTGGTGCAAGAGAAAAAGGAATTCAGATTATGTATAATAGTACTTAAGATTTTCCAACTGTCTTATATGCTGATGAGCAAAGAACCAAATAGATCCTTCTGAATCTATTGCAAAACTCTCTAAAATTCACTTTCCATGGACATATTAAAGTTGAAGCTGGGTATGATAATTCAGCATAGCAAATAGTGGTAAGTGTATCTGACACTGGTATCGGCATTAAATAGGAAGACAGAGCTAAGTTATTCACATTATTTGGGAAATTGGAGGCCACTTCACATATTAATACGTCTGGAATCGGTTTGGGATTAAGTATCTGCAAAAAAATAGTTGAGATGTTTGAAGGCATTATCTAGCTTGAAGAAAATAACAACCCCGGTACTAAGTTCACTTTTAGATTAAAAGCAATAAATTATCTCGAGCCTGTTCAAGTTTTGACTCATGCTGACATTGATAACGATGATGATGGTGCATTAATTTAGCCCACCAATAGGCACCTTATGATAAGTCAATACTCTAACGAGGGGAAGTTTGATTACTCTGAAAACAGTATAAGCTTCTAGCAAATTCAACTAGACATGCCTTAGAACATATACAAAAACCTATTCACAGACTAGATTTGCGTTTGCCCCAAGGTTAACTATGTTTTAGTAGTGGATGACAATATTTTTAATGTAGTGACCCTGCAAGCAATATTATAGCTTTAATTCGGTCTCCTATCTGATAAAGCCAGTAATGGGGAAGAGGCGTTGCAAAAAGTTAAAGATAGGTATGACTACGGCATAAAGAGTGGATGTGAATTATGCCGAATCAAGAAATAATATTATTAGCTTATATTCATGGACTGTAACATGCCAATAATGGATGGATTCTAGTCTACTCTAGAAATCAGAAAGTTTGAGGTAGAGAATAATATGAGAAATATTTCATATATTGTTGCCTTGACAGCCTACACTACAGAAATGTTTGCAAACAAGTGTATTGAATCTGGGATGAATGAGTTTCAAACCAAGCCAGTTAGTAACGAGGTGATCAAGGAGGTGCTAATGAAATTCGATGATCTTATGCCTTTGGAATGAAAAGAAATACTGACATCTATATTTATAGATATAATTTATTATCATATTTTATTGCTTAATTTCATATAAATTCTTGAAAACATGGGGTTTTGGGGTTTTGGGG